TTTGTTTTACAAAATCTTATGGAAAATATTTTGAAGGTACAGGTTCATTATTTCGTACATTATCAAATCGTATACGATATTTTACACCAAAAGAAATAGCTAATTTACATTGTTTTCCATTAAATTATCATTTTCCTGAACAAATTACAATTCGTCAAGCATATTCATTACTTGGTAACAGTTTAAATGTATTTGTTGTTGGAGTTTTACTTGAAAATCTTTTCGAGCGCTTTTAAATATTCAGATTTTTGTTGTTTTTCTTTTTTTTGTTTTTGTTTTGTTTATTCTTTCAGATCAATATGAATTCTCGAACATTAAAACGTTTATCTAATGTTCGTTTAAAAGCACGTAGTGAACTTCAATTAGATGAATGGCAACAAAATAATTTATATTATGATCGGAATATTCTAATATGTAATAAAGATCAATTAGAAAGAATTGATGCAAGAAATATAACACGTGAAGATTTTATTGAAAAATATGAACGTCCAGCTAAACCAGTTATAATTCAACATTTAATTGATGATTGGCCAGCATTTGATAAATGGACTGTAGAAAAATTAGGTAAAAAATATCGTAATCAAAGATTTAAAGTAGGTGAAGATGATGATGGACGATCAGTTAAATTAAAAATGAAATATTTTCTTGATTATGCATTAAATAATCATGATGATTCACCATTATATTTATTTGAATCAAGTTTTGGTGAACATCCAAAAAAGAGACGTCTTCTAGATGATTATGATGTACCAGATTATTTTTCGGAAGATTTATTTCATCTTGTTGGTGAACATCGTAGACCACCATATCGTTGGTGGTGTATTGGACCACAACGTTCTGGAACCGGAATACATGTAAGTTAAATAAAGAGTTTATCTCTTCTCATCGTATCTATTCAAATCAAGTTAACCATCAAATGACAAATGAAATTATCTGTGAATATTCCAGATTGATCCATTGGGTACAAGTGCATGGAATGCACTTATATCGGGACATAAACGATGGTGTATATTTCCACCATCAACACCACGTCATTTACTTAAACCAACATCAGCTGATTCACCAAAAAGTAAAGATGAAGGTATTACATGGTTTAAAGTTATCTATCCAAGAACACAACTTAGTACATGGCCAAAAGAATATGCTTGTATTGAAGCAATACAACATCCAGGAGAAGTTATGTTCGTACCTGGTAATTAAAAATAATTTATTATGTTTATTTTTTCGTATAAATCAATGTCATATGAAAAATTTTATTATAAAACAATAGTTTACTAACATTATTGAATAGATCATAGACACATATATATATATAATCATTTTTTGACATGTTCTATATGATTATATATGAATCAATTATGGAGCGATTGTTCATTCTAACTATTGTTTTGTAAAAAAACAATGAATAAAGAAATGTATCATAATAGGATTACCATGTCAAAATGAAAACTTTATGTAAATGTTTTATTTTGCATATCTTACCACTTATTTAGAACTAACTAATTGAAAAATAGATAGACTATCCATTAAGAAACTATAAGCCATTTCAGATATCAAATCGTTTGTCAATCGAAACGATGTTCATTTTATGATTCATAGAAAAGTCTAGAATAGTTTAGTTTTCCAAACCTTCGTTTATATATTATTTACATCTCTACTAACGAAGCTAAAACTTACATAATCAAATAATCTCATTAAAAATTCTGTTCGAATATCGTCTCGATCGAAAAGCACTTTGACACTGAGAGAAGTTCTCTCGTTAGTTTTTGATTGTATTTATTGATATTGAATATGTAAAAGAAAAAAAAAAAACAAAATGTAGAATTAGTGGAATACAAAATATTTCAGTTTTTGTTTTAATAATTTATTTTTATACTAATGACTGTCAATGTGGGAAAATATTAATACAACGAGTATTTTAAAACTAATAATACTTCTTGGAGGCTTATATTATTTATTATGGTTGAATCCAATTCTGTTTCGACTATAAAACTGCCAATAAAAAAAAAAGGTTATTAACATGGATTTTTCGATAGTCGTTTTCTTTTTTTTTAAATACATTCATTTCTTCATGCATTTTAAATTTCTATAAATAAACTAATCGCCTGCGGCAATAATAACGTTCATGTCACGCCTTCATTTTATCTCATGATGAAATTGAAAAATAAGGTAACTTTCTTTTTCTTTTCTATTCTTGTGCGTGACAAGTTGTCTCAAGAAGATATTTCTTAGATAATATGAAAAAAGATAACTTACTAAGTGGCACTACACTATTCCAAGCCAATTTTGTTTTAAAATTTAAATTCAAAATAGTATTAAACAATGTTTTTATCGAAATTTTCACTTGTGAAGAAGGTTTTTAAAGTCCACCAGGGGATACATAGTACGTGATACAATAGTCACAAACTCTAGAAGGAACAATATGATCTTTAAAAAAGATACCTCCCTCTCGTACTAGATAATACATTTGCATCAAAATCATTCAAAAAAAAAAGTTCTTTTCTTTTTCTATTATAGGCGGTTATTGGCATGTTGTACTTAATCTGGATCTAACTATTGCTGTGACACAAAATTTTTGTTCATCAGTTAATTTTCCTGCAGTATGGACACGAGTAATTCATAGTCGACCAAAAATGTCGAAAAAATTTCTCGAATCTCTTAAACGTCGTCGACCAGATTTAGCACGATTAACTGAAAAAATTGATACTAATGCAGATACAGGTCCTCGATCGGATACATCATCATCAAGTAGTTCATCAGCATCAGATGATTCATCATCTGATTCAGCTGATGAAAGTGATAATGAATCAAAATCAACAATCGATCAACAATCACTTGGTCAAGGAGACGAACCAGTAGCTAAGAAACAACGTATTTCATCTTTACAATAAATTTTTGTTATTTGTTATTCTTATTATATTATTATTAATTTTTTTCTGTGTTAAACGAGAGAAGAAAATTACGATAAAAAAACCTGTGACAAAAATTTTTCTCATTTTATGAGTTAAAATTTTTTATTTGTAGATTATTCTAATCATAACATTTAAATATTAATAATCATGTCCCAGTTAGTACATGATGAAAAAATTCATATTAATGAACCTCGATATGATCAAAATACATATTCAGGTCGAGGTTTGTTTATTCTATTACCTGTATTTCTATTTTTATTTTGTTTTCTAATTTACTAGCAAAACATTTTTTTCTTACAACAAATCCATTAAACCTCTTGGCTAGTGATCAACATTTAAATGAAGGTAAAAATTAAATAAGATAATAAGAATTGTAATAGATTCTTTTTTTGGTTTGTTTTATTTTATAGCAAAAAAAATGGTTGAAGATTATCGTCATGGTATTATTTCACGACCTGATATGACTGTTGATGATTTATGGAATGCAAAATATTTATATGATAGTGCATTTCATCCTGAAACAAAAGAAAAAATGTTTATTCTTGGTCGAATGTCAGCACAAGGTTTTGATTTTAAAACATATATATGTATTTGTTTTTCCTAAATAAATTTCTTCTTCTTTTCCTTCTTCATCATAGTTCCATGTAACATGTTAATTACTGGTTTTATGTTAACAGTAAAAAAAGAATTATTGAATGAATATTTAAAAAAATGATAATCTTTAATATTTTCTTTTAGTTCTATAAAACGGCACCTGCTATTGTCTTCTGGCAATTTGTCAATCAATCTTTTAATAGTATTGTTAATTATACAAATCGAAGTGGTGAAAAACCAATAACAAATACTGATTTAATGAAAAGTTATGCTGTTGCAACTACAGTAAGTTTTAATTTAGACTTTTTTAATCCAAAGAATATATTTAGAATTTATTCAAGTTTTTGAATAAGAAAAATGCTTGATGAATTTCAAGCAATGATACATCGACAAATTTCTATCATGTTTGTACTTCATTTAATCGTATATAAGCACTTGATTATTTCAGCTACATACTTCTAATGATGATGATGATATTAATATATCTACTAAGCTATTAAAAAACTCCGTATTATTTGATTTCAGTTCTTAAGAAAAGCAAAATTTTGCAATTTTTCTTTTGATTACTTTTATGATAATCTATATGTTTATGTTGAATATTTTAGGCTGCAACAGCTACAGCACTTGGTCTTAAAGGTAAATGAAAATTATTTTTTGAATAATATTTTATCTATATAATTAATACTCATATTAGCTGCTGTTGCAAAATTACCATCAATTATGGCTCGATTTGTACCATTTGCAGCTGTAGCTGGTGCTAACTGTGTCAATTTACCATTTATGAGATGGAATGAAATTCGTGATGGTATTGCTGTTTTTGATAAAGATGGAAAACGTGTTGGAGGTGAATAGAAAGAAAAAGGTATAATATATTTCTCATATGATTTTGTCTTTTATGAAATTAGAATCATCATATGCAGCAAAGAAAGCTATTGCCCAAGTAGTTCTTTCACGTATTGGCATGGCTGTACCGGGTACATATTTAAATCTAGTTCTTTGATATTGAATATATTTCAATTTTGCATTCTAGGCATGATTATTCCACCGATTATTATGGATAAACTTGAACAAAAACCTTTTATGCGTGCACGTCCATGGCTTAATAGTCCCATACAAATTCTTCTATGTGGTTTCTTTTTAACATTTACAACACCAATGTGTTGTGCTTTATTTCCACAAAAGAGTTCAGCACCTGTGGCTAAATTGGATGACAAACTTCGAGAAAAATTATTACGCGATGGAATGAAAGAAACCGATCGTGTTTATTTCAATAAAGGCCTTTAAATTTCAATAGATATTCATGAACACTGTGTGAACCTGAGTATTGTTTTTTCCCCATAGTGAGAATAGAGTATCCACTGCTTAGCTTATTGATCCATTCCATATTATATTGTTTTCCTCCCGTCTGTTGTGTGTCTTTGATTAATTGATGATTATAAAATAGAAAATAGTAGATGTCTGACATTCAAATCTATATTATTACAACAGTTTTAGATGGAAAATTATCAATTTGTTATTATTGGTGGTGGTATATCTGGTGTGACTTGTGTAGAAAGTGTAAGTTTATTAAATACGTTCTGTTGTTTGATTTCTTTTTTGTGAAACATAATCTAAAAAGAAGTGTTGAAGTCTATTGAGTAGAAATTTGTACTTGCTCTAACAGATCATGACAGATACCTTAGCAACACTTCTCTCGATGATGGATTTCGAGTAGGAAAGATCAGTCCTTTTCAAAAGACTCGTCTCAATGCTTCCCAGAAAAAAAAAGGACTTAAATATAAGCCTACACTAACTCCCTCCTGCCGTGTCATAGACTTTACAGATGTTGTTGATATGCAATCAAAAATCATATATCAATAACATCTTGTTATAATTGCTAATTGCATTTCTGGAAGATTAAGTATAAGAATGGTGAAGATATATGTCCTGATAAAACAATCTTCCTATAATTAACAACAGCAGCCATATTGTTTTTCATATTTTAATTCTGCAAGGCTTATACTAACAATTTTTGTCTTTTTAACTTAATAGATTGCTACATTTGATTCTACTGCTCGAATTCTACTTCTTACAGGAACACCATTGATTAAAGCAATTACAAATTATGTTAAAGTAATATTTATATTTACAATTATATTTATATGATTTTATTTAGGTGAGCAAATTTTTAGAAGAATTTGATATTGAAGAAAAACCTTTTCATTATTTGGCTGAACGATTTTCAAATTTAATTATACAAAATAAAGTTGTTGAACGATTAGAAACTGAGAAGCAGGTAAAGCAAAAACTTTTTTTTTTTAGCTTTTATAATTATTTTTATTGTCGAATTAGATTATTATCTGTTCTGATAATACACAAATTCATTATGATCAACTTTGTATTTGTACTGGTGCACGACCCAAAGTAAACTAAGGGTGAAAATCCTTTTCATTTACAAAATTATTTCATTATTTATCTATTCATTTATTAGTTACTGTCCAATACAAATCCTTATGTATGCGGTATTCGTGATACAGAAACAGTTGAATCATTTCAAAAAAAATTAGCATCAGCTAAACAAATTGTTATTGTTGGTAATGGTGGTATTGCAACTGAACTTGTGTATGTAAAGATCATTTAGAAAGAAAAATATTGAATTATATTATTAATGATTAGATATGAAGTTGAACATTGTTCAGTTATATGGGCTATTAAAGATGAACATATTTCAACAGCATTTTTTGATGAAGCTGCAGCTCGATTTTTTCTTGATCGTATTGAAATGGTTAAAGAAAAACAAAAGATGAATGAAAAAAGACAAAAATATGAAATGATTGATCAACCAGTTGATCCTACACATATTCGAACATCATCAACAAAGATATGTGGTGGAGCTTTAGGTCCTGATTGGGCAACAAATAGATCGATGAAAGGTGCATTTTCTGTAAGTTAATAATATTGTCTCAAATCAGTTTTCAAACATTTTATTTGTTTATTTCTTTGTTCAAGCAACCTCGACAAGTTCATATTGAATATCAAGTTGAAGTGAAAAATATTCTTACACCTGAACAATATCAACAACGAAAATTAACTATTGAAAATCTTCAATCATCTGAAGGTAAAAAAAAAAGAAACTTTGTTTATTAATTTTTTAATATGTATCTTTAGAAGAAATTCAATGGCCAGTTTATGTTGAATTAACTAATGGTAAAATTTTTGGTTGTGATTTTGTTGTGAGTGCTATTGGTGTAACACCGAATGTTGAACTTTTTCTTCAATCAGCTGATGTAAAGAAAAAAATTTTAATTAATTTACTAGAATTATTTTATTTAAAATTTAGTTTAAATTGGGTGCTGATGGTGGTTTATTAGTTGATGAAACAATGCGTACATCAATAAAAAATATTTTTGCTTGTGGCGATGTATGCACAGCTGGTTGGACGTTTGCAGAACATTGGTTTCAAGTATGTAAATATTTTTGTTCACATAATCATAAATTTTATCAATTAGATGCGTCTTTGGTCACAAGCTCGTCAGATGGGATATTATGCTGGTAAATGTATGTTAGCATATGCAAATAATGAACAAGATTCATTAGCAATGGATTTTTGTTTTGAACTTTTTGCACATACAACAAAATTTTTTAATATGAAAGTTGTTTTACTTGGTAAATATCATGAAAAAGATATGAAAAAATATGATAATCTTATTCGAATGACTCCAGGTAGATTTTATCCTGTAATTATTAATACAATAATATTTTTACTTCTTTTTTTTTTTTTACAAGGCGAAGAATATATAAGAATAACATTAAAAGATGGTCGAGTACATGGTTGTATTTTTATTGGTGATACTGAACTTGAAGAAACATTTGAAAATTTAATATTAAATCAAATCGATGTTAGTGCTTATGGTGAAAGTCTACTTGACCCAAATATTGATATTGCTGATTATTTCGATTGATAATATGATTTTCTGTTTTGTTTAAAATAAAAGATAGAACATTTTATATTTCACTTTATGTCAAGAGAAGAAAAATTTGAAAACATTATTATTGTCTTTGTCAATTCAGCAAAAAAACTTTTCACTGTGAAAAGACAAAAAGAATGATGCGTTACAAAAACCAACATGTATTCTAAATCATAGTTTGATAATATATAAAAATAGCATAATATGTATATAGGAAATCAATAGACACATCTGCTCGTATTTTCTAAAATTAGATAATGACTCTGTTTCTTTTAACTTATACATCTATTACATATAGCTGTATTGATATGAAAAGGTCACAAATGTTTCTAATGGCAATAGATTATTATAATATACATGTAAAAGAAAAAAAAATGTTTCATTTTCAATAATGCTAAAAAAACGAATGTGACGCTAATATTCAAATTGAAATGTTTTATATCTTTGCTTTGTTTTATTTATTTCTCTTAGAATTACAAATTATTAGTAGTATCGACATTGAACAAAGTTCTCTAACTGTAATTGGTGATAAAAATGTTACACGTCAAAGTAATTTAATAACTAAATCATTTTCAAAACTATCTATCAATGGACCATTTTATTGTTATGTTACATGGACTGATAATAAACAAACGATGGATATCTATACAGATAATAATATTCATCCATATGTTATAGTTCATATCGAACAAGATACATTAGAAATAGCGATTCAATTTGATGCAAATTTTAAATTTACTAAAATGGATATTTATCTTTATATACATCCAACAATTGATGAAATTTTCTTAGGTGGAATTAGTACTTTACATAGTACAAATGTATTAAAGACTGATAGTCTCTTAAAATTACATATTCAAGGTATAATAATGAAAAAAATTTTCAATATTTTTGAGTTCAATTTTACAAAAGATTAAATCATTTTAGATACGAGTAGCCTTATTCTTCAGTTGGATATATTCAATCTTGATGCTCTCTTTTTATCAGCTGGAACGACTAAATTAATTGGCCATGTAAATGATAAAGCAATAATTAAATACGATGGTATTGGAGATGTTGATGCATCTCAATTGTTTTGTAAATTTGTTGATATCGAAGCTAATGGACTCGGCACTATATGGATAACGGGTACAGAGGAATGTATTATTAAAGCTGAAGGTGTAAGCATTGTAAGATACAACTGTACTAATATACATAATCCTCAAGTGACTGGTTTGGCAAAAATAATTCCAGTTTAATTCTTCTTAGTTTTTGTTCTTCGTTTTATTTGAAAATGGTTTTTCTTATAATAAATTTGTGTCAATATACTTTTTTCTTAATTATTGTATGAATGCTTTATACTATCATATATATATATATATAATATCTTGATTGTTTTTCTTATACTGTTGGCAGAAAAAAAATTGTCTTGTATATTATTCATAACAAAGAAGAAACTACGTCAATGAATGTGGGATAACGCAATCTTATATTTACCTGTAGACAAATACTTCATCATTCTTTATCTTGACAGAAAATTTATTTTGTGACTTTTATCTTCATTCATTGATAGAAAAAGAGAAAGAAACAAAAAAGATCGTATTCGAATGATCCATTTTTCTTTTTATTATGTTAGTACTTATAATAAAAATGTTAATATATGAATGTGAATTCTAACGAATAAAAATGACAAATACAAATGTAACAATTGATGATACCATAGAATTTATACGTAAATATATTATTTGTCGTTGGCTTTATTTAATTGTTTTCGGTATTGGTATCATTGGAAGTATATTTAATTTAATAGTTTTCTGTCGAAAAAAATTTCGTTCGAATTCATGTTCAATTTATTTTATAGCTTATTCAATAAATAATTTTATGAATCTTACTGTTGGCCTATTTATATGGTCATTAACTCTTGGTTTTAATCTAGATTTAGAGTATAAAATAGTGATTTATTGTAAAATTCGTCGATATTTTACACATGTTAATTATCTTCTATCATCCTGTTTATTAACTATGGCATCAATTAATCGTTATGCACGTGTTCGTCAAGCACAATTAACAGAAAATCGTCATCGTTATATAGCTTTATGTAAACGTCGAACGACATATATTATTGTTATTCTGACGATTACTTTTTGTTTACTTGTTAATATACATATTCCAATATTTTTTGAAATTTCTGAGAATGACTGTTATGCTCGAATGGGTGTTTACAGAATTTTATTTGATGTTTACTTTCTTGTTTTCTATGCATTATGTCCTCCGTTATTAATGGTCATTTTTAATATAGCAACTGTTAAACATATAAGATGTATTAAAAAACTAATTAATCCAACCGTATCTCGTCGTGAATATAATTTTATTGTTCTTGTTCTTGCACATAGTTTTTCAAATGTAATTTTCACTATACCATATACAGTTAATAAGTTTATTTATTATACATTTGACAATACAAAACTATCAGAAAAAGATAAACTTGTTAATGCTGTAACACTTTTAATTGCATTTATGAATCCTGGATTTTCATTTTATTTATATACATTAACAACAAAATCTTTTCGAGATGAATTTATTCGAGCTTGTAAAGAATTTTTTCTTAGAAAAAATTCTTATTCACTTCGATACAAAATAAATGATATCAAAAGACAACAAAATAATGCAATAGGTTCACGTGTTTCTATACCAATAATATTATCAGAGAAATATTGACATTATAACAATTTTTGTTTGCTTCTTCATTGTTTTTTGATCTATTTTTATATTTTCTCATGTATATTAAGTTAGATACTATTGTATTTGCAATTTTTTTTTCTTTATCAATAAAATGAACGAAGATCGCGATGCTATGTTCTTTTGAAAAATACACAGCTCAATAGTAAGAATATATATCTATGAAAAAAAGTGCAGTTGAATGCAAAAACTTTTTTGCAAAAATATGATAACTCCATGACATCATATTGCCAATTTATAAACCAATCAAATTTTTTCTTGTTAAAAAGAAAAATGTCTCAACTAGAAATTTTTTATCAGATATATGTTTCCAAAATGAACTTGACGATGAAGAAAAGTTCAAAACTAACCAAGTCCAAAAAGGTTCTTGCCATTTCACTATAGAACAACAGAATTTTATAGTTTCTATTATTTTTTTTCTTTAAATCAACCGAGAAATACAAACACACGTTTTATGCTACTTTTGATGGCATAAAGAATGTGCTTTTCAATTGTATGTGAGAAATTAAATGCACTTCTGGCTTTTATAACTATAATATAGCTTTTTCTAAAAGTCGACTAAGTTAATTGATCGTTTTTACTACGTGGCATTTTTGCAACGGTAAAAAAAGTGCTTTTTGATTTATTTTCTCTGTTAAATTGTCATGACTTGTAATTTTTCGAATACATAACACAAATAGAATTCAGTTCATGTATAATTTGAGAATATTGCGGCTGATGCTCCTGAAAAGCTTTGCATTTCATAAAAATTTCATTTTTCAAACTTTTTGATTAAAGATTCAGGAATAAATCGCAAAAGTTTTGCTCAAATGTGATATCGACTAAATTTCTAAGGCTCTACATTTCGATGTACTTTTGTTTCAATTTAATCCATTTATATAGCTCAAAATAATTCAGAACTATAAACTTTTCAAGTTGAAAAAACGTTTCAAGAACTTTTGTAAACGAAGATCTGAAACGAGTATTGAGATCAATAGAGTAGAAACTTGAATTCACTTCTCTTCTCCCCACAGACCATGACAGATACCCTCGGAACCCGTCACAAACCGCGCAACAGACACCTTGGAAATTCGCCATAGGCTACAGTAGACATCCCGAATGGATGAATGTGCGCATAATTAAAGAGAACGCTCACATCCACACACTCTGCACGTACTTGTAGTGATTTATCTGATCTTATCAGAAGTATCACAATCGTTTCAAGCGAGAAAAGTCAAAATCATTAATTTTGTATAGTTGATCTTTCATTGAGGGCGTTAGCTATCTATCGTAAAACAGGACACAAAATTTATAGTACAAAATGTCGACTATTGTATTTCATCGACGAAGATATTTTGGAAAGATGATTAAGTTTTGGATGTATCTTCAAAAACTAAATAATCTAAGAAGGAAGAACTACATTTACACAATAAAATTGTGATTTTTATAAATGTGTCGAAAACGTCCTATAGGAGAATAGTTAATTCAATTTTTATAAATTGATTCAAATGATATTGTAAAATAATAGTGACACCTAATGTGGTATCATAGTATAAAATCTTTTTGACAAATCTATATTGGCATGCAGGTATCTATCGAATAGATATAAGGATCCATATGTTGTACTGTCACTTTGTGGAAAAGTACACTAGAGTAGAAATCGATCCGGTTAGAAAATAATTTATAGAGATACCATCTTTTTTGGATGACATTTGTTGAGAACAAGGTCGCTTACTCTCATTAAAATAGTTCAACGATGTTCATTCAAAACCTATTAGTTTTACTTTTTTTTGAAGTATATATAATTTTTCAAAAAAAATACAATCAAAACTGATTTTTCTTGTTTTGAGTTAAACTTCTATCATATATATGTTGGTAAAGATCAAATTTAGGTTTAGATTGTTATTGAAAGAGAAAGGTTCGGTTTGTCTAAAAAAAAAAAGCCTAACTGAAAAAACAATTCAAGATTTGGATTTTAGCAATCAGTTGATGAGTCAATATTTTTGTTGTCGTACTATATAGAAATATATCACATATTCATTTTTGAGAAACCTAACTCATTAACCGATTGATAATGATTCAACAAATCAGTCGGATTGGACTAGTTTTAAAATTCTCGACTGATTACAAATGCGAAATGCATACATATCTTTTAATTAATACATTTTCTTCTCACATCATGTTGTTCATGATTTGGAAAACTAAATTTAGTTATAGACGGTTCGAAAGAAAAGATTATTTCCTGTCAACCGACGAAAAGAAAATCTTCTTACAAACTACTTCTATTAATAATTAAGTTACTATTGTGTTATGATTTTTGCATCATATGTTCTATTTCATATGTTGATTTAATCTTAATATTGTTAATTGAATTGAATGTCTAGTCTGTCAATAAAGGAAAATGAGTTATACAACAGGTAAAAATAAAAAATGACAAAAATAACATGTCTTTTTTCTTATTTATTAAAAAAGTTCTCAAAAAGTGTGTTACTAATCAGAAATAATCTTCTGAGTTTGAGTAAGAAGTCTATCTACATAATATATTCGTCCTTATTCTGCTTTTCCTTTAATAACGTGATTTATATGTCAAGATCAGTATTAATAAAAAAAAAAAAGAAGATGTATATCTGTCATGCAGAAATATCTCAATGTATATTTATTATTGATCGTTTCATAATGTCACGATTAATATATGAGAACGTTGATAAAAATTACAAATAAGAAAAAAATTCATATCTTATCTGTTTCTTTTCTCATTAAAATTGTTAGCCTTAAGATATTATTTCTTGTACCACTTATTCTTATCTCTTGATTTCCTAAGTTAGTCGGAAATAAATTTGAGTTCTTGTTACTATATATTTCCTGTTTATTATTATTTCCTACCACTTATGCATATTACTCTACACTAATAGTTAGTTAATTTGCAGTTCTATCGTTTATGACAAGGACAATATACATGTGAGGGCTGCAGTACACTATTCTCTAGGTTCTATACTATCACGACACTCGTCCTAGAAAGACAGCTGGTGTTTTCTTTTTTTTTTTTGCATGACAGAATTCATATTAAAGTATAAGTATAGAATGTCTCGTCGTTGTAATGATAATGAGAATACAATATTTTCTAGAAAAATATGTCTTACGAAAAGAGCGTCTCTTTTTTTCAGAATTATTATTGAAAACTTGGAGATTTATTCGACTAGTGTGTTAAGCCGTTAATAAATAAGTATCAGGAGAAAGATTTTTAATCTTGAGAAATTTTCGTTCTTCCCCAATGAATTTCACGAGTTTTTATTCGTTTCTTTACTTGTCATTTCTCATAAGACCATTCGATCCCTTCTCCGAATCTGATGAACTAACTTTAGCAAACATGTTCTTATCAGTGTCCTGAGTCATTGCATTGTCCCCCCCCCCCCCATTTTCCCTCCCTCTTCTCACATCCAACCTATCTCGGGACATCCGTATGTGAAGAAAAGTTTAAAATCAAATGCGAGAATCCCATGCAAAGGTATGGTATAAAAGAAGTTATATTTTTCTTTCTCTT